AACGGCATCAACGGAGACAGAATGTACCCGTTCACGCTAAGATCATTTTTGAGAGTTTTACTCGCCCAAATTTTATTCCGTAAAGTGGTACAAGTTCCTTATCGTCTTAGCTATCTACTAATGTAGTCAAATTCACAATTAGATATTTCATTTATTTCTAGGTTTCCCTACACCTTAATGACTCCGATTTCATCCAATTCTGGACTTGGCTAGGAATTTCAAGTTACTACCAAAAAGTTTTCTGGTCCCAATTCTTTCTTCATTGACTTTTTCATAACAACGGAATCAAGTCGTTACACATTTACTTTTTGTCCTAATTTCAATCAAGTTCTTTCAATTTTTGGGGAATTTATTGATTCTTTCAAAATTATTATTTCTAATTTTGAAGTTATATGAAAATAAGATAAATTAATTGATGATACCTTCAAAATTTTGACTTTTCTTACAAAAATAATTGATTTTGTTATCATTAACTCAACAAAGTTTAAAAAATAGTATGATTCTTTTTTAAAAAAAAATCACTGAGGGAATGAAATTTAACTAAAGAAGAAAAAAAGAAAATAGGGAGGGACACAACTTGACGTGGGTGGGGAAGGATGGGAGTGAGAGGTGAAGAAGAAGAAAGAAAATGAAGGGAGGAGGTTAGCTTGAAGTGGGGGTGGGATGGAAAGTGAAGTGAAATCAAAATAAAAGTAATAAAAATAAAGAGATAAGTGTAAAAAAATACATCTAAACTATTCCCTTTTTTTTTTTAGTTTCATACTATCACTTATTAGTTTGAGAAACACACATCAGTGGTGTGTGTAATACTCTCTCTTTTATTTGAAAAAACCTTGACACATGATATTGCGCATGGATAAAATATTTCATCCTGACAAAAATTAAATAATAAACTATTAATATTGATTAAAAATTAAAGATTAAAGTATTACTATCCCCCAAAAAATGATTTTAAAAAAAATAAAATTTAAATTATTTTTCTTACCCAACTCCTCCGCCCTCTCCCCTACCTCCAACAATCCCCCGTCCTTTTTTTTATTTATTTCTTTTATAAAATATTTTTATTAAATTCATACT